GGAGTGTTTCAAGAGGGGATGATGTAGCATTTCATGTCCAATAGTTGATTTGATTCAATCCCATCATGAAGTCCATGTAGCACACTTCACTAGCCAAATTTTTGGCCATAATCCCTTAAGTTTGGCCGGCCAAGTGAAGGAAGGAAAGAGAAAAATGAAACCTAACCATTGTACCTTTGTCTACTTTCTAAATTTACTCATTAAACTGTCCAAAATTATACTGACAGCTATTTTCTCCTGTATGCGGGTACTGGATGCTAGTTTGTATTGTGCTTGGAAATTCTTAAAATTAATGTTCTCAAGCTGTATCTGTACTAGAAATTCTTCCGTTTTAAAGTACGGTGAGAATTTATCGATCGAATTTACTTGATCGAAAAATTGTGAACTTAACGTGAAATCTGCTACAGAATTTAGGAATGCAGATGTTAATTCCATAAATCCTTCAATCACAAAATGTACATAGTATAATGATTTTCCAGGAAAATCCTTGACTTGAATACATGAATTATATTATTAAAATTATGGGATTTTTCTTGGTCACTACACGTAGTATGGGTTGGGCCGAAATAATTCTTATACGGGCCGGCCCGGCCCGGCCCACAAAATTCGTGGGTTGGGCCGACCTAGCCCATAGCCCGCGTAGGCCTAAAAAGAACGGGCTGAGCCGGCCCGTTCTTGCATCTCTACAAAACTGCCTCAAAATATTGATCTCTTATAACGTTCAACAACAAAAAGAAAATGAGGACTAACGGTGCCAACAAATTAGAGTTTGAGCACCTGAGTTTCTAAATTCTTAAAATAAGAATTAAAATTATCTACAAATTAGGAGTTTGGGGAGTGTCCAAATTCTTGAAATGGGAACTAGACCTAAATGCCAAAATATACAAAGTTTAGAGACCCATCGTGTAAAAATCGCTTTTGCAGATTAGATGTTTGATTAAAGATGCAGCTTACCTATTTCAAACTTCAATGTCAAATCTGTATGTCCTCGTCAAAGATTAAAGAAATTGTGAGTACTTAAAGCAGTAAAAAGGAACAGATTGAGATAAAATGTGAATTCAACAAAATCAAGATGTGCGGTGCAGGGTCAATATACAAATCTCTGATTCAATTTTTGTTTTGGTAGCAAGTTCATATTCCAAACAAAGAACGTTTATTCAGGTCATATAAATGAGTAACAGCAAAATCAATATTAGAATCTATACTCAAAAAAGCAATATATATATATATATATGTGCATTTATGCAGGCATGTTAGTTTAAACTGAGATGTCTTTACCTTTTGGTGCAGTTGAAGTTGAACAACGGAAATTATTTCTGCTATTAGTCGCGCACTGGCCTCCTCCATAGTAGCAATTGAAACATTCACCAGTTACAAACACTTGAACAATGAAATGAATTGAAAACAAAATTTCATTGTCGAGAGTTCGATGAGAGAATGGAGGAAGCTGGATGGTTGAACATTGCTGTGCAGATGGAAAACTACGATTCAAAAGTGAACTAGTGTAGTAGATATCATAACCTATGCACCTAGTACGACTAAAATCGCTCGGGCCAGTAATACCTGGACTATGGCTGCAGTTGAACAGAGTTGATGAATTCGAAAAGAGCGCTTGAGAGAACGAACTTTTCGGAAGAGTAAAGCTTTCGATAGATGGGGATCCAAGCGACTCGGTGACGATGTCTCATTGACGAGAATAGAATTTAACTGAGAGAATGCTCTCAATATGAAACCAGTGTCCTCCGTCTTTCAATTGGATCTTTGGAATTTAACTGAGGATATTGGACAACGTGGTTTGTATTGTTTCTTCTCCTCAGCTGAGCCAAGAAGCACAAGATGAACGAGGAACTTTTAGCTAGGGAAAAAAGAAGAAATAAAACAAAGAGTTTGGAAAGAAGCGAAGCGGGTTAGCCATGGGGAACTTTTCCATATCCTGCATTTCAGGAATTCCATGACTATAATGATCCAGCAAGTTCCCAAATCTTCTTCCTCGCATTGACAAGCATCAAAGACTTGACTTGTACTTGTCAATGAAAAAAAGACAAAGACTGACTTGTTCACCTCTTAATGTCTCTTAAAATTCCACACTAACATTAATCATGATGACTTTTAACATTTGGATATGATGGATATAATACGATATTTATTTTAGGTAACAATAACTTTGAAAATGTCTAACAATGACATGCCACAAGTAAATTTCTTATTGCTTTAGCAAAAAGAAAACTGAAGGGTTGTTCTTTTGGAGTGTAACTTGAGTGTAGCTTTTTAGTTGAATTTGAGTTATAACTTGAGTTGAAGTTGTAATTTGAATAAAGTTGAGTAAAGTTGAATAAAGTTGAAACTTAAAAGAACGTGAACTTAAATAAAGTTGGAACTCGAGTTGTCTTCTTTTGAGTTTTTTGAACAAAAGAACATGCCCTGACTTTCTTACTAGCACACTTTTCAAAGTTAAAACAGGAGAACAAATGCAAAGATTCTGTCTTTCATTAATGATTGAATCCTCTGTCAAAAAAAAAAAAAAAGAAAAAAGTTAAAACTAAAACTTTGCAACTCTTCTGAACAAGATCATGAAGCCAATAATTTAGAAGAAAAGGCAAGGATTATCTCGGGAAACACATCTCTTGGTTTGGTTTTATAATTTTGGTCTGTGTGAATTTAGTACCTTTTTTTTGGGTAGATTGTGTGAATTTAGTACTTGCAAAAACTATCTGGTTATATGATGGTAATGCTATAACGCGTCTTTCCAAAAGTAAGAGTGAACCAGAAGACTTTGAATAGTTTTGGGTGTCAGCTTGTTTGGAAGTAAAGGAAAATGATGTGTGAAGAAAACAGCACAAGCCGACCATTAGAAAATCGACACGTTTGCGGGTCTTAACGACATGGATTGATAATTTGATAGTTAATATGGTCACTAGTTTACATCTGCTGAATGTCAGTATACTACAGCATATAGAAATTTTGCATTAGAATAAGGATAGAAACAAAGCCGTTTTTTTCCCTCAATTGATGTGGTCTTCAGTTTGATAAGTATGAGATATTGATGAGGTTAAAGACAGCGCATTCGCACGCTACATAAACTCAGATTGTCTCTAGCAGTTCATGACAAGGAAACTTGACTGCTTGAAGTAGACCAATACCTAGAGGACTTGATTATTGATCCCTAAAATTCATTTGTTTCATTTTTCTATTTTTTTTTTTTTGAATTGCTAATATTGTTGATTCACAAAGAATACTAAAAATTGGAAAAATAAAGTGTGAACACCCAAATTTCATTTATAAATAATTCTCCCTTCTTACTTATGATAAGACTAACATATTTGTAGACTTATCTGCCCAAACCGTAATAAAAAACTACAAATAAAAATATGAAAATAAATAATTCTGAAAATTAAAAATGAAAAAGGAAAGTAACTTATATTTTTTTGACTTTGGAAAGTAACTTATATTTGACCCAATATTTAAGCCAAAATGAAACTTTCCTGATTATAAAAATGGTAATTGAATTATTTAAAAACTTCTAAAAATAGAATTTGACCTTTCTTCCACAATAATTATCTTCGAGAGCCAAAATTATTGGTTTCTTTCCTAGTATGGGCTGTATTATTCTCCTTTGGTTGGAAAAAATTCGTCCTCAAATTCAGAGTAGCTTCAAGTGATACGGGTAGTGAATAATTTGCTTCATTAATTATGGATGATCCATCTTTGAAACAAATAAATTGTTTATTCAATTGTATCAATTTTAAAAATGAAATTTTTAGGAATCTCTTGTTAAATTTTAGACGTGGATATATACATATATAATAATAATTGTATATTATATGCTATCATATTAAGTTAAGCACATTTAAAGTGATCAAATAAGGTTTTAAGTAATTTGAGCTTTAATGCATCTAATAAATGTGGGCTTAATATGTGTAGAGACCAAATCGTTACTTCTTATTTTGATGATGGGTCAAATTAGAAATAATAAAAAGTTTACTTCTATATAAATGGTTGTGGTCCTCAAATTATATATATGAAACTTTTCTGACATCCCATTATTAGAAAAGTGAGAATTACTTCTCAAGGCATTCATACTGAATAATTTGGAAGATCAAGAACCAAAAGATTGATCAAGAACCACAAGATTCATGAAACAATCCGTTCCTATGAATTCGGGTACGCTTCAGCTTAAATCTATTCTTCTTAATGATTTAACATAATAAATCTTGATGTGATTAAGGATTTTATAAATAAAGAATTTATTTCCATCAAGTGGTATCAGAGTGTTAAGTCATTAAGAGAAATTCTTCTCTAATTTTTCGGTTGATGCTTTCAGACATTCTCTTTGATTTATGCTCTGCCTCCATATTATATATACATATAAAGTATAAACTGAGTAGGAAAACGACAACAAAATTCTAGTATATATATAGGATGCAGAATAGTATGAGTTTCAATCAAAAGATTCAAGAAAACTGGCTGGCGGCACTCTTCTTTGCCGCCGGCGATATGCTAACAGGACACGGCGTTTGCCGCCGCCGGCATTGTGGAACGTCCGGCCGCGCCGGTGATGAAGAGTCGCGCTGTACAGTTAGGCCGGGCGGTTCTGGCCGCCATTACTCTCCAGGGGTCGCGACTGTTGCGACCCCTCACAAGCAGCCTCTGGGCTGAAGCCCAGAGTTGTTGAAGAAAGAAATGGGCCTAACTGGGCCTATAACAAAAAAAAAAAAAAGGGCTGCGAGATTAGCCCTCAGCAACCTAATAGTAAAAAATAGGCCAATATAAAAAGTTTAAGAAAATATATAGACTAACTTTTAGTTATAAAAATTAATAGGGCATAACTTGTTAAGTTATGGTTCATAGCCAGACAAGTTATGGATAAAAATGGATAATAACTTGTCAAGTTATGGTTCATAACCAGACAAGTTATGGACAAAAATAGTAATTTGGCCTATTTATTAACTTATGTAAACTATTGGCCTATTAATTTTAATTCATCTCAAGTGTTGGCCTATTTTCCTCTTTCTCCTGTTGAAGGAGAGGAATAAGGGTATGCAGGCCGGATCAGGATGCGGGTTGGGTTGACCCAACCCATCTGGCCATGATCAAAGTTGACCAGTGACCACGACCGTTGACTTTGACCATCATTGACTTTTTTTCTTTGGAAATTTAAATTCAAAATTTGGTACAACTTTTCTTTTATGGATGTCTTATGTTTTAATATGAATTGATTGAAAGAACATGCTACCAAAGTAGCCTCTCTTGTGTAAATCAATTTATTTTATAACATAAAGATGGTTGTGGGTATGTAATTCATGCGGATATTGATCGGCCCAAAGGAAGGTCAGTATTTGGCCGAATTATATGCACACTTGTGGTAATAAATATGTGACAATTATTAGGTATTCTATGTGAACAATAAGTCGGTCCAAAGAAAGGCTTGTTGTTTGACATGATTTTATTGTCAGTATTTGATTACTACACCAAGAGTACCACTTACAAGTTAATATTATTGTCCAAAGACTAATTGTTAATGTTGTGTTAGGTATCTTGTGATGGGTCTTACCATTATTTGAATTGTTAAAAGTTTGATATGGTATTTGTGTGAACGTTTTGTTTTGTTCTATTTTCAGTTAATACATATGCTTCTACTATATCTGCTAGCATAAATTCTATTCCCATGTTAAATGGAACAAACTTTAAGGAATGGAAAGAGAATGTTATGATCGTTCTTGGCTGCATGGATCTAGACCTTACGCTAAGGATTGAACAACCCACTGCTCTTACAGACCAAAGTTCCAATGAGGAAAAATGGGATTTTGAGAAGTGGGAACGTTCAAATCGCATGAGTCTTATGATCATGAAGCGTGGAATTCCAGAAACTTTCAGGGGTGCTGTGTCCGAGAAGGTAACTACTGCCAAAGAGTTCCTTGAGGAACTTCAAAAGCATTTTGCTAAAAATGATAAGGCTGAAACAAGTACGATTTTGTCGAACTTGATTTCATTGAAGTCTAAAGGAAAAGGAAATATAAGGGAGTACATCATGGAAATGTCTCATCTTGCTTCGAAACTAAAGGCACTAAAGTTAGATCTATCTGAGGATTTGCTCGTGCATTTAGTTTTGATTTCTCTTCCTGCACAATTCAGCCAGTTTAAGGTCAGTTACAACTGCCAAAAGGACAAATGGACTCTTAATGAGCTCATTTCTCATTGTGTGCAAGAAGAAGAAAGACTGCAGCAAGAAAACAGAAAGTGCTCACTTGGCTAGTACTTCTAAGGACAATAACAAGAAAAGGAAGAAGGACAAAGAAGTTGCGGGAGGTCCAGCCCAAAAGAAATAGCAAAAGAAACAAGATGAGGAATTTTGCTGTTACTTTTGCAAGAAACCTAGACACATGAAGAAGGATTGTACCAAATATCACGCTTGGCGTGCAAATGAGGGTACGTTTCTCGCCTTGGTTTGTTCTGAGGTTAATTTAGCTTCAATGCCAAGACACACTTGGTGGATAGATTCTGGTGCTACTACTCATATAAGTGTGTCAATGCAGGGTTACTTGAGCTGCCAAAAGCCAAATGATGCTGAAAGATTCATCTATGTGGGCGATGGAAAATCAGTGGAAGTTGAGGTTATAGGGACATTTAGGTTATTGTTAAAGACTGGATATTATTTGGATTTAAAAGAGACATATGTTGTACCGTCTTTTTGACAGAATTTGATTTCTATTTCTGTTTTTGACAAATTTGGTTACTCTTGTTCATTTAGAAATAATCAGTTTAGTCTTTCTTTGAATTCAAATATTGTTGGTACCGGTTCTTTGTCTTTTCATGATAACTTTTATTTACTTGATACTATTGCCTCTTATAATGAAACCTTGCATTTGAGTTCACGTGGTACAAAACGCAAATTAACAAATGAGAATTCTGCTTCACTCTGGCACAAACGTTTAGGTCACATATCTAAACAAAGAATTGAAAGACTCGTGTCAGATGGAATTCTTGATCCTCTTGGTTTGTCAGACTTTCAAGTCTGTGTTGAGTGCATTAAGGGGAAATAGACAAACATAAGGAGATTAGGTGCCAATAGATTTTCAGATGTCTTAGAACTAATACATACGGATATTTGTGGGTCATTCTCTACGGCTTCATGGAATGGTCAATAATATTTTATTACGTTCATAGACGATTACTCACATTATGGCTACCTTTATCTCATTCATGAGAAGTCCCAATCATTGGACGTGTTTAAGGTTTTCAAAGCTGAAGTTGAGAATCAGCTTGGCAAAAAGATTAAAGCTGTCAGATCTGACCGTGGTGGTGAATACAATGGCAGATATGATGGATCTGGTGAACAACGTCCAAGGCCATTTGCCAAATTCCTAGAGGAGTGCGGTATCATCCCACAGTACACCATGCCAGGAAGTCCTACTATGAATGGTGTTGTTGAGAGACGAAATAGTACATTAAAGGATATGGTGAGGAGTATGGTTAGTCATACTACCTTACCAAATTCACTCTGGGGTGAGGCATTAAAGACTGCAGCTTACATTCTTAACATAGTTCTAACTAAGGCAGCGGCTAAAACTCCTTATGAATTATGGACGGGCAAGAAGCCCAGTATAAAGCATTTACACATTTGGGGTTGTCCAGCAGAAGCAAGACCTTATAGGCCAAATGAAAAGAAACTGGACTCAAGAACAGTCAGCAGCTATTTTGTTGGGTACTCTGAATGATCTCAGGGGTATAAGTTTTATGATCCCACATCTAGATCCTTCTATGAGACGGAAAATGCCCAGTTCTTTGAGAATATTGTGTTCGGGGGGAGGGATAAGGTTGGAGATTTTGTCTTTGAAGAGGAATCTGTTTCTCTTCCTACGATTGCTATTGACAATGATCAGGCTCCTATTCCTGATGTTGTTCAAGAAGCAATACTAGAACCACAAGACAATGTTGAAAATCTCCCCGATCAAGGCCAACAGGTTATTCCTGAAGAACAAACTCAACAACCTCAAGAACAATTGCCATTAAGGAGATCCTATAGAGAAAGGAGAAGTACGATTTCTGATGATTACATCATATTTCTCCAAGAACATGAGAATGACATTGGATTGGTGGAAGATGATCCAATCAACTTTCATCAAGCCATGCAAAGTACTAATTCTCAGAAGTGGATTGATGCCATGAATGAAGATATTAAGTCCATGAAAGACAACGACGTTTGGGAACTCATCTCATTGCCTGAAGGTGCGAAGCCCATTGGTTGCAAATGGATATTTAAGACCAAACGAGATTCAAATGGTGATGTGGAGAGATATAAGGCTCGTCTTGTTGCAAAAGGCTTTACTCAAAAGGAAGGCATTGATTATAAAGATACTTTCTCTCCGGTTTCATCGAAAGACTCTTTTAGGACAATAATGGCATTAGTGGTACATTTTGACCTTGAGTTGCATCAGATAGATGTAAAGACTGCATTTCTCAATGGTGACATTGATGAGACGATTTACATGGTGCAACCAGAAAACTTTGTGTTGGGTGATGCAAAGAATATGGTTTGCAAAATAAAGAAATCCATCTATGGACTTAAGCAAGCTTTCCGTCAATGGTATTACAAATTTCATCAAGTTGTCATCTCGTTTGGTTTTGAGATGAATACGGTTGACGATTGTATATACCACAAGTTCAGTGGGAGTAAACACATTTTCCTAGTTTTATATGTCGATGACATACTGCTTGCCAGCAACGATATAGGTTTGTTGCATGAAACCAAGAGATTTCTATCAAAGAGATTTGAGATGAAAGATCTTGGGGACGCATATTTTGTATTAGGAATTCAAATACACTGAGATCACTCTCGGGGTATTCTTAGATTATCACAAAAGACCTATATTGAGAAGGTACTTAAGAGATTTGGCATGCAAGATTGCAAACCATGAGACACCCCTGTTACTAAGTGAGACAAGTTCAGTCTCGATTAATGCCCTAAGAATGATTTTGAATATAAGGAAATGCAGAAGATTCCCTATGCTTCAGTAGTGGGAAGTCTAATGTATGCTCAAGTTTGTACGCGTCAGGATATTGCGTACATTGTTGGGATGTTAGGCAAATATTTGAGCAATCCGGGAATGGATCATTGGAAAGCAGCCAAACGAGTAATGCGGTATCTTCAGAGAACAAAACATTACATGCTCACATACAGGAGGTCGGATAAGTTGGAGATCATTGGGTATTCGGATTCTAACTTTGCTAGATGCCAAGACAGTTGTAGATCCACTTAAGGCTATATCTATATGCTTGCTGGAGGAGCTATCTCTTGGAAGAGTGCAAAGCAGACACTCATAGCTTCTTCCACCATGGCAGCTGAGTTTATAGCATGTTATGAGGCATCCAACCATGGAATATGGCTGCTGAATTTTGTCATAGGGCTGTGAATTGTGGATGGAATTGAAAGACCATTTAAGTTATTTTGTGACAATAAGTCAGCAGTCTTATATTCCAACAACAACAGGAGCTCGACGAAGTCAAAGCATATAGACATCAAGTTCCTAGTTGTTAAGGAAAGAGTTCAGAGTGGTCAGGTGTCTATAGATCATATTGGCACAAACTTCATGGTTACGGATCTACTTACTAAAGGGCTACCACCCAAGGTCTTTCATGAGCACACTGCTATATGTGTGTTGTATCATTTGATGATATGCTGAATTAGTGGGAGTTTGTATTTATATGCTTTTCTATTATAGACACATCTTTTTTTTATGGATATTATCTGCAGAAATAAAGTATTCAGTTTATTTTCACTTTAATTCAGTTTTATTTTGATCTCATAAAGAATAAAGTTGGACCAGTTGGAAATAGGCATGTTTAGATCACATTACATGTAATTTCCATGCTATACATCCATACTTGATCTATGTCGTTTGGTTATGTTGATATACGTGACCATGGATGGGTCTAGTTACGATACATGTAACAAAGATCGCCTTGATCCTATGTTAACATAATTAATGGACGAGATTGTTCAGAGATGCTTTTGGATATGATAACACAGATTTTGAGCTCATAAAGGTTATATTTTAATATACAATTATAAAGTCATATATATATATATGTAGTCCAAGTGGGAGATTGTTAAATTTTGTACGTGCATATATACATATATAATAATAACTGTATATTATATGCTATCATATTAAGTTAAGCCCATTTAAAGTGATCAAATAAGGTTTTAGGTAATTTAGGCTTTAATGCATCTAATAAGTGTGGGCCTAATATGTGTAGAGACCAAATCGTTATTTATTATTTTATGATGGGTCAAATTAGAAATAATGAAAAGTTGACTTCTATATAAATGGTTGTGGTTCCCAAATTATATGTATGATACTTTTCTGACATCCCATCATTAGAAAAGTGAGAATTCCTTCTCAAGGCATATATACTGAATAATTTGGAAGATCAAGAACCAAAAGATTGATCAAGAACCACAAGATTCATGAAACAATCCGTTCCTATGGATTCAGGTACGCTTCCGCTTAAGTCTATTCTTCTTGATGATTTAACATGGTGAATCTTGATGTGATTAAGGATTTCATAAATAAAGAATTTATTTCCATCATCTCCACCAAATGTTCTTCAGTGCCAATTTCAAAGTTGTCGGTGCCGAAGAGTTTCGCAAGACTGATCTCATCTGCCTGATCATTAGCCTCGTCAAATTGGTCATTTGCTCTTATTAGTACCTATTTTTTGCTAGGGATTTTTGCTATTTTGTTGTCTATGTTGTCGATCACCATAGCTATAGCACTGCATGTTGCTTGCTGGTTTAGTCTGATGAGGAAGTGATGTGGGGGTTGCCTATTTGGAACTGCTACTTGTCACGCCCTAAAACTGGGGTTAGTGACGTGGAGGCTCGTTTAGAAAATTAAACTTGTTTGAGAGAGTGATTAGCAAATATTTTTAATTTCTTTCAAATCCAAAACATTCAGGTATTTCCAAACGAGCCCCTTTTTATTCAGGAGAATTTCAATTTCAAGAATGGTGGTGGAATTTCCAACCAAACCAGTTTAAAATCACGTCCCTGGTATCAAGTCAGGAATTCCCACAGGTGTTTAGCATACATGAATATGAATAAAAGTAAGTGTGACATCAACCACAGTATAGTAATATTTAAGTTTCTAATCCATACTCTTTTATACATGCCTTAAAATAAAAGATAAGAGGAAAGACAACTCTTCTCTTTCCGAGGTCAAGTCCACGCCACCGGTAGTAGCTACCTACTCC